TACCTAAATCACAGAAAGTTACAAATTAATCAGCAAACTCACTTAAATTTTATAATTAAAAATATATTTTTGAGATAACAATCTAATACAAAATAATTAACATATTTTCTAAAACTATAATATTATTAACATAAATTCTTTTTGTTTTATTTTATAATAAATTATTAAAATATGAAAATAAGCAAAATAACCTAAAATCATGGAAAAGTAGACAACTAAGCAAATTTTTACTTCTAAACAAATAATTGAATAATATATTTTTTAAGATAAAAATCTAATACAAAAGAATTAACATATTTGCTAAAAATATAATATTATTAATATAAATTCGTTTTTATTATATAACAAATTATTAAAAGATGAAAATAAGCAAATTTCCATAAAATCATGGAGAAGTTGACAACTAATCAAATTTACTTCTCAAATAATGTTATAGATTGAGAGCTTCGTGGAATATCTAGCAGATAGAAATACAAATAGTTACGATACTAATATCTTGAATATTAATTTCTAGCACATTATATAACTATCAAAGTGAAATGAAGTATACTAAGTGCCTATCTTTTTTGTATTCCTCTATTCTATAATCAACAAAAAGGAAATAATAGTACATATCTTCTTATTCATAATATGCTGATACCTAGATAGAAGTAATGCTGTCATAATAGGGTGGTAGATTCTGTTTGATCACATCTAGTAGCACAATCATATCACTCATAGGGATAGCAAGAAAGAACCCACTGAGTAGTGAGTACTTTTATCTATATTTTACTGCCACGAGGAAATATATAACAAAAAAAAGATGATTTACCTGCCTGATCCAAGCCAAACTTGGGATGCTCCTCCACCGTTGTATCTATATCGATAAATATAATCTGCCTCCTGTTTCTCCTTGTCTGCGTCACTAAGATCTGGTAGCTTTGCAAACATCAAGCTGTCTAGATCAATCTCTGTATTTCGAGGATCCATTCTTACCTGAATAATAAGTTAAGAAAATAAAGGGGCAGATAAAGAACCGAACATGATATAATCAGTTACAAACCTGAGAAAATATAAACATATAAAAGAAGAAAGAGAAATATGGGTGTCATCAACCCAAGGAGGCCTCAAATATCTACCAAACGAAAACAAGAGCACATAAAACATTTGGAAACGTTGCAACCTATATGCAAGATTCAAGAAGTAAAGAGAGCACAGCAAGCTATACCTTATCAAAATTCACCACAAAGATGGCACTTGGTATGGGTTTATCCGCCGTGCCAGCTGATCCAGCTCCCGCTTCCATATCAAATATATAAGAGTAAAGGCGGTTGAATGCAGACTCAACTTTTTTTGCCTCTACATCATAGGCAGGTAAGTCTCTTCCAAAATCAGCCTAAATAGAAAAAAATATTTCAGCTCAATCTTATCTACATTAAAATGAAGATTTTACAGCAAAGTAATCTACATGTCGTAAGCAAATCATATATCTAAATGTCTGTGTATGTGAATTTGTTATGAGAGAAATGATAAGATCACAGCAACCTCGAGAGCAGTCCCAGCAGGCACCATGGCTTCTTTCACTGTCTTCTCCAGAGCTATTAATTCAGGTTGCCCAACCTAAAAGAACAGGAAACTAAGGATGAATATTCAAATAGTAGACCAATGGAACAGGTGAAAAATCTTGCATCAGAACTCAAAAGTCTATAAGACTTATCACTGAGGACATACAACTACATGCATAGTAACAGTCTGACTCAATATGTAAAACGCCAAACAGCTCAGGCAAGAATAAGATTACAGAACTTGCATAGCTTAGTTTTTAAGAATCCTACACATGCAATATTCCACAATACTAATGCAGCTAAGCAACAAAAACAAACAGTATAAGATCGTGAAAGTGGTTTAAGATGTACTCACAGGAAACACATTATAAACCACTCGATGTTCAATATCAAGTGGCTCACCCGTCTCTTGGCAAGAGGGCCTATGAGTCGAGAAGCTAACTCTTAAAAACTCCTCAAACTTGTGAGGATCCATACCATATCTGTATCCTCCATCCCCATTCATACCAACAAGGACTATATTCACTTCTAAAGGAACCTGAAACGGTACCTGCAATCAAAAAACTAGATATGAAATTCAAACCTCCATGTCTCACCCTAAAGCAGCCAATCTAACATATAATCCTCAAAGATGCAGTGTAAAAATTCACATCCACAAGCATGAACAAAGTTCTGATCACACGACTCAGGCCACAAGAACGAGATTATCATGACTATTTCACTTCCGTGACTCCACAAAGCCAAATTACACGACGATTTCTTCTCCTAGCTAATCCAGACTCACTGATGATGATGATTCGCATTACCTAAGGTGGAAATTTACCTCGGCGCGGGAGTGAAGCATGCGGCGGACATCGGATCGCACGCTCTCTCGTACATCGAGGAAGGCGCTGTGATGCCAGTGAGGGTGACCCGGCTCGCGGCGGAAAGGCTGCTGAGCCGACTCAGACCGAGAAACGAATCCGCTTAGAACAGTGATAAACACAACGAGAAGGAGAGAAGAAACTGTAGCCGATCGTGAATCCGATCTCACCTCCATGACTGGAAAAATAACCGTCACCTCTCGATTTGGACTTGGAGAGAGTCGATCCTAGTCGCCGAGGAGAGAATTTGGAGAATGATCACTAATTACTAATTTACCCTCAATATTTTGATTAAATTACAGTTAACAAAAATATCTATCGTATTCGTCATAGCTGACGAAGACGAAGATATTAGAAGCAACAAGCAACGTGTCACTTCACCTGTGGTCGTTATGACCAATCAATACACCTAATTAAATCACTCCACGTGTCCTTCATCAGTCTATTTAAAAAGCTTGTCCCAACGACTCTCCTTCCTTATCTCTTGGAAAAAAAAAAAGATGAAACGTGTGATCTTCTTCTCCCTAGTAACAGCCGCTCTACTAGTCGCCATCACCGGCGCCGAGTCAGGCGACGTCAGTTTCGATGATAACCCGATCAGGCAAGTCGTCCCGGAAGAAAACGATGAGCAACACCTACTCAACGCGGAGCACCACTTCTCTCTCTTCAAATCCAAGTACGAGAAGACTTACGCGACGCAGGCCGAGCACGACCATCGGTTCCGTGTATTCAAGGCTAACCTACGTAGAGCTAGACGTCACCAGCTTCTTGATCCGTCGGCCGTACACGGCGTGACGCAATTCTCGGATCTTACTCCGAAGGAGTTTAGGCGGAAGTATTTAGGGCTGAAACGGAGGTTGCGTCTTCCGAGAGATGCTCAGAAGGCGCCGATTCTTCCGACTGGTGATTTACCGACGGATTTTGATTGGCGTGAATATGGAGCTGTAACTTCTGTTAAAAACCAGGTACTGTTATAAGGGAAGTTTTTTTTTTTCTGTTGGCTCAAGAACTAAACCAAGATTTGTGTATAATTGAACCGGTACTTAACCGGTTCTACCTAACATAAATATCAACGGTTAATACAATAGTTGCCAGAAATGGACAGATGGCTTTCCACTTTGTGAGTTTTACTGTATGTGAAAAGGTCTCTGTTAGCTCGAATAATTAACCGAACTAAACCAAGCTTAGAGATATGTATAATTGAACCAATACTAAACCAGCACCTAACACAAATATCAACGGTTAATACAATAGTTGTTAGAAATAGACAGACGGCTTTCCACTTTGTGGAAAGGTCTCTGTTAGCTAAAATGTTAAACCGAGCTAAACCAAGCTTAGAGATATATATAATTTAACCAATTCTAAACCGGTTCCACCTAACATAAAGATATCAACGGTTAATACAATAGTTGTTAGAAATAGACATTTAGTATTCCACTTTTGTGAGTTTTGATTGTTATCAAGTATTGAATATGTGTTTTTTGATTTGTATAAGGGCTCGTGCGGATCATGCTGGGCGTTTAGCACAACAGGAGCTCTTGAAGGAGCGCATTTTCTGGCGACTAAAGAGCTTGTTAGCCTCAGTGAGCAGCAGCTCGTTGATTGCGACCATGAGGTTTGTTTTGTCTCTCCCTTTACGTTATTCATTTCGGTATGTGTGTTTGGATATCTATTCGGATTCGGGTTGGAATTTTCGGTCCGGTTAACAATAGCTCCGGTTTGATTAGATTTTGTAGCTCTGTCTAAATTCATTAAAATACTACAACTAATAACCCCTACTAAGATTTATTTCACTCATTTCACGTTTGGTTAATACAACATGTTCAAGTTATATTCACAGATTGAATAAACATGTAATTGATTATCTGAATAATTTATTTAGGTTTCAAATTTTTATGGTTTTGGGTACTAGTTCGGATCTTCCGTATTATCCTGGTTGAGGTTTTTTGGTACCCGTTGGATTCGGATATTGGTTGAGTTACAAATTCTCAAACCTAATTCTTTGTTTGGTTCGTCATATTGCTTTTAAGATTGTGATCCTCATTGACATAATCCTTTTGGATGTGTTTGGTAAAGTGGTTGTAACTAATTTTGGCATTGAAAAATCTTCCTTTTACTACAGTGTGATCCAGAAGAAGCCAACTCATGTGACTCTGGTTGCAGTGGAGGACTAATGAACAACGCTTTTGAGTACACTCTCAAAGCTGGTGGTCTTATGAAAGAAGCAGCCTATCCTTATACAGGACATGACAATTCCGGCTGCAAGTTCGAGAAGACCAAGATAGCTGCCAGAGTGTCTAATTTCAGCGTTGTCTCTGCGGATGAAGACCAAATCGCTGCAAACCTAGTCCATCATGGTCCTCTTGCTAGTAAGTTCTTTAACTTAAACGCTTTTCCTCTGTACAAACTCAAGAACCAGATATTTAACTCATTCTCTGTTCTGCTCGACAGTTGCTATCAATGCAATGTGGATGCAAACGTACATAGGAGGAGTCTCGTGCCCGTATGTATGTTCAAAGAGCCAAGACCATGGAGTGCTCTTGGTTGGGTTTGGTTCAGCGGGTTATGCACCAATCCGTCTCAAGGAGAAGCCTTACTGGATTATAAAGAACTCATGGGGAGAAATGTGGGGAGAGCATGGTTACTACAAAATCTGCAGGGGACGTCATAACATCTGTGGTATGGACACAATGGTATCTACTGTTGCAGCTGTTCATACCTCAACTCAGTAAAAGTTATTATTAGGATACTACTGGGTTTTATCTGTTGCTTGTAGATATACATATGAATAACCTCTATGGACTGTTGTTAGTATTGTTGTGTCTCCTTGTTTCAGCTTTTATGTAAAATAGCCTTTGTGTTATGATCTTTGTAGCATCGAATGCTGAAGAACATTGATATGATTAAGTTTTATATTATTATTATGTTTGAAGCTCGTGAGCCATAGAGAAGACAATCGCATAGATTCTTCCGGTTTGTCTTATCTTCCTCAAGCACTTTTCGCACCATTTAGCACCGACACTTTATCGGTGGTGTTTGTTTATATATGTCTAACGTATACTTTCCATTTGGCAACAGAAAGGTACAGAAAACAGTCGAAACGACCACGACTCACCTGGTTGCAAACCCCGGTTACCAAAATCAACGTCTTTTGATTTTACAATGATACATCAACCTTAGTGTACTACCGAGATAGTTGATGATTTCAACAATTATTTTTCAGAAAAGAAACGGATATTTTTGTGATGATTGACCGTTTGAAACTGGAGTATTGTGTGTTTGGGTCAGCGTGTATAAATTTGTAGTTATGAAGACAATCAATATGAATAGTGAGTGATAGGTACTGTTTTGGAATACTGTATCTATTTTCTTGGTACTGTATGAGATTAATGTTTGGATTTTAACACGATGTTGTTTGTAATTGTTTAATTGGTTATATATACAGTAATGAATCGTAAATCGCAAGGTGTCCACGATTATTTCTACTTTTTCAATTTAAAAATTAAATTATCGAATACATTCATGTATATGGTCAAATAGTTATGTACTAACGGAACGTTATTATGGTGACATGTAGTGTAGATTGAATCATGCATTTCAATTATGAGATATAAATGATATCTAACAGACAAATCCTCACTTTAGTATGATATAGCTAATTCAGGGTATAGGACAGGAAAATGTATCCAGATAAAAGTACCAGGTTGGTGTTTTATGGACCATATATCAAATTATTATTGGCCTTAGGGGTACTGCTCGGGGGTAGACATAGTTTATTTTTTCTGCAAGTTTCAAACACTTCTATACAAAACTTCAGTTAAAGAAGCACTCATGTTGTAAAAATGTTTTTTGATAAGAAGAATTTAACGTTCTTTCAAAAAAAAAAGTAGACATCAATGCATAACAACATAAACTGTTAATACTTCGTGTAATGCTTAAGTTTAGATTCATAATAACTCATCAAAGTTTTCAATATCAAACTTTACAACAGCTGCCGAAGTCAATTACCAATGAAAAAAAAACAATGGATGTACTCATTACATGAACGAAAAATTAGAAAACATGTTCTTGTCGTACCATTAGTTTCTACCGACCACAAATTGAACAAAATTTCTTGTATTGCAATGCAAGGAGGAGAAATTTTTGTACCATCCACGTGGAAATTCATATCTTCAGACTTCATGATTCCCTAGTGATCTTGATGATGACTTCCACACACCCAAATCGAAAAGTTAAACCTAGTGGATTAATTATTGATGAGAAACATCCCACATTAGAAATATAAGAATTAATCTATTACTATATAAAAGGTTGGAGCCAATACACTAATCACCAATTGGTTTTAAGTTGAAAGCCCATAATAAACCCGAATATATCATGGTATCAGAGCGATAACCACATTGTCCACTCTTCAGACTTAGAAATGTCTGAGCGTGAGGGCAAATAGTAAGCTTCAGAAGCATCCAAGTGAGTTTTATCAACACTGTCTAAATGATTCATTCATTATACGACTCAACTTCGCGTCTCACAAACCATGCTTTTAGGGTTTAGAATCTGATTATTTTATGACGGAAATTCATATACCCCGTTATTGATCACATAATGTTAAAGGAATAGTTTTTACAGTGTTTTGTGAAGTTTTGGTATTCGAAGATTATAATGAGGTTGAGTAATTTTTCAACTTAGCAAAACTGTAATTTCTTTAGCTATTTTCCCCAACAATACTAACCAAATATGTTTGTTTTCATGCATATTATTGGACGATGATATCTGTTCACTAGAGTCAGTGAAGTTATGAACATGGAATAGTTAATATTTTTTTTTTATCATTTATTTTATTCATAGTGAAATCCCCAGCAAATATATCTCATTCTTTTTCATGGCGTAGTAAACAAGTAAGTAGCCCTATAAAGCTAAATTTAAAATCCACCACCATGGCCTCCTCCTGCACCACCGCCAAAACCTCCACCAGCTCCTCCACCATGGCCTCCTGCACCACCGCCAAATCCTCCACCGTGGCCTCCTCCTGCACCACCGCCAAAACCTCCACCAGCTCCTCCACCGTGGCCTCCTCCTGCACCACCGCCAAAACCTCCACCAGCTCCTCCACCGTGGCCTCCTCCTGCACCACCGCCAAAACCTCCACCAGCTCCTCCACCGTGGCCTCCTCCTGCCCCACCGCCAAAACCTCCACCAGCTCCTCCACCGTGTCCTCCGCCAGCACCACCCCCGAATCCTCCTCCAGCACCACCACCATGACCTCCTCCAACACCACCACCTTTGCCTCCACCAGCACCACCACCGTATCCTCCTCCAACACCACCACCTTTGCCTCCACCAGCACCACCACCAAATCCTCCTCCAACACCACCACCGTGGCCTCCACCTGCACCCCCACCAAAGCCTCCACCCGCACCACCACCAGCTCCTCCTCCAAAACCACCACCACCGCCTTTTCCACCACCAAATCCGCCTCCAGCACCACCATCATGACCACCTCCAAAAGTCTCCTTCTCAAGTCTCCTACATTCTGCTACTCCAATAATGAGCAACACAACCATCAAACCCAAAAACCCAAATCGCTTAGAAACTTTCCCCATTTCTTTTCGTTCGACTTTAAGTGTTGTTCTTTGTTCAGTGCGATTGGTTACTCTCCCTACTACACTTACTAACTCTATTTATAGGAGCAATGAAAATGAGCATTAATAAGAATTAGTTGAGACCTTCATCATACACTAGTTTGTTTTTTACATACCATTCCTAATTTCGCTATCTTTGATGCTACAATTTTCCTCATGTGTAATAAATGAGCGTTGAGCAAGTGTTCCTTTTTCAATTTGTAGCCTTGTCATACTTTTCAACCCTATCATTTTGTTTAATTTATCTTAACCCCTTTATAACTTTCTATTTTCATGTGGCTAATGGAGTATTTTTATCACCGACTAAGTCAGGCTAATGATGAAAGAGTTTGCATGTGGATGTTTTCTTTTATTTCAAAACAAATTAGCAACGCAAATAGAGTTATTTATAGCTACATCCTATATACCTTGATTTTGAGTCAGTTACCTATATGCAGAAGTTTAAATATGTTTTCCAATATGTTTTAAGATCGAAGCTTATTTATGTCAACGCAATCTAATGTTGCAAACAAGAAACAGAAAGAAAATCACACTGTTGACACATGCAATACTAAATAAGTGTTTACAATCCAAACATGGAGTAGTTTTAATTGATGAAAACTAAGATTGCATGAACAACATAATTAAGTGATCACGTCAATAGTAATCGCGATCAAAATAGTTTGGTTGTGGATTTCCTAATGTTCTTATCCATATTTATATTTATGATTTTTCTACGATGTATGAGCAATGAGTTGTAGAGATAGATATATTAAAAGATTGTACATAATATTTGAGTAGTAGAAAATGAATAAAAATAACTCTACACTGTGAAAAAGATGACGAGAAATTCAACATGGGTTTGAAAATAGTAGAGACAGGGCAGGTGGTGAAATAAATTAAGATTCGTCTCTATTTTCAGCGTCTCAACTACTTTACCACTTGATTTATATGCATTTTGATCTTTTATCATAATCATGCAGTTTAAATCCATCCATAAGTCATTATCGTTATGATCTGCCGACAAACTTTATTATTTATTTTGACTAAAGACTGAAAATTAATCAGGAGTACTATAGAAACCAAATTAGTGTGCAACGTTTTGGACTTAGCTAGAACCTGATGAGGAGGAGTAAAGTTTAGGGTACTTTGTTTCAATGAAAAAGTTATTTTGGTCATTTTTTTTAGGGTCAGTTTAGTCTACAAGTCTTGCTAAATACTAAAGCTTTACGTGCATGGCATGGTTAGGTTGAGTATAAGTGTATAACCTTGGCGAACGAAAACAATACTGAAACGTATATAAGTGAATATTGTAGTTAAAATTATAGTCATAAACTTACGTTTAAGCAAGTAATGAATCTGGTCAATGAACGAGGGAAGCTTGATGATGGCTCAGAAAGACTTTATGACACCAGCCATGGGAGAGTCGATGACAAGGATTTGAAGGTGTGAGTCATACCGTATATGACGCCGTAGCGCACATCTTTTGGACTATGTTTCCTATATTGATACAATTTTCTTATTATTTCAGCTTTAGGATGAGTTTCATAAAGCTTAATTACTACGCTGCTCTACTGTAACAATAAGGGTTAGCTGAAGCGAAAGAAGGAGGTGGTTTGGTTTGTGTGTCATTCCGTCGTGTTGATGCAAGACTCGTCTATTGTAAATTAAACAATAAATATAACGTCAACGTCAGTGAGACCAGTTCACTTCACCACGGACTTGGTGTAGGAATTCATACCGGTTTATAACGATTTATAAAACAACCTATGAATTCTATTTCTAGAATCTCATGCCAATACTGAAATAAATCTAGATCTTAGGGTTTCGGATATACCTGGTTATTCGCAGCGGAAAGATGAATAAAACAGATTGAGGTTTTAGCACTCCAAACGTCGTGCCTCTATTGGTATCCACACGCACAC